CGGGCAAACAGGGCCCCTGGGCTCTGGTCTCCAGCCCCTCCGGGGGCTCTGGCAGGGGAGGGGCCCGGCCGTCGGCCATTGTCTGTGCCCAGCCAGTCAGTCGGTGTCACACCTGCCCCAGGGGTCTCTGCAACGATCACACCCCCTGTCCCACTGCCTAGATTTACTGGAGTAACACATGGGAAACTGAGGCACACACTATTCAGACAAAAGATTAAGGAAGTTCCCACTTCGTCACACAGGTACCTGCAGGAGTACGCGGCGCTGGGCACGGGAGGCGGCATCTACCACTTCCGGGACCAGATCCTATCGGGCAGCCCCGAGGCCTTCTTCGTCCTCAACGCGGACGTGTGCTCGGAGTTCCCCCTGCCGGAGATGCTGGCCTTCCAGCAGCAGTGTAGAGACCCACACAGCTTCGTCATTCTGGGCACCACGGTGAGCGGGGGGCTGCCCCAGGCCCCCTGGGGTTCCCGTTGCAGGCGGCCGGCTGGGAGCCTCGGGACCCCTCTGCCCAGGTCCCCGCTGACACTGTCCCCTTTCCACAGGCCAACAGGAAGCAGTCCCTGAACTACGGCTGCATTGTGGCCAACACGGAGACGTGCGAGGTAAGAGGCTGGGGCCACCCAGGCAGCGCTGCCCATGCTGGGTGGTGGCCGTGGCCAGTGTGGGGCAGGGGCGTCGGTGGCCCTGATGAAGAGTTGTGCTCCCAGTGACCTGCGTCCGGTTCCCAGCATGGCCCCAGCTGCCGCGTTTGGCCTGGCCGGCGCCCGGTGGGGTGGAGCTGGTGAGCCAGGCTCATGGCCCGTCGCCCCCCAGGTCCTGCACTACGTGGAGAAACCCAGCACCTTCGTCAGCGAGATCATCAACTGCGGCATCTACCTATTCACGCCCGCCGTCTTCCAGCACATCGGTGAGGTCTTCCAGAGGACCCAGCGGGAGCTGCTCCAGTGAGTGCCCCCAGCCCGGTCCAGTGCCCGGGGCTGTAGCCACCACGCTCATCTTCCATCTTTCTCTTTTCCCACCTTCTCTCCTCCTCTGGTCTCCTCACTCGCTGCCTGACCTGCACCAGGGGCTCTTGCCTTGGGTAAGTGTCTCTGTCGCCCCCTCCCAGCCTGTGGCAGTGCCTGGGGCATCGCCCTGCGTGGGGCATTTAGCGCCAGCCCCCTCCCGGAGCCCTGCTTCGCCGCTGAGACACACTCTCTGCTTCCACCTGCTGCTCCGCTGAAGCTGGCATTGGCGCCTGGGCATTCAGGGTACCCCTGGGCCCCCCAGCTCCCTGCACTGTCTGGAGTGTCCCTCGCCCCAAAGCGCTTCCCATGTGGAGAGCCAGCTGTGCGGGGGGACAGGTGGGAGTTCAGGGCGGAGGAGAAACCCTCTCACCCTGGAAAGCGCCCCCTGCTGGGGCGGGAGGGGGCTGGGTGTGTCGCTCTCTGGGGCACTGGCTCTTACGAGGGACTCCTGAGCTACCAGCTGGGAGCCGGGGCTGGCTGGGAGGCGCAGAGCCGGCAGCCTCGGCTTGGCCCCGCCAGCTGCCAGCGCAGCGGGTCTCACCCCACTGGGCCCAAGCTGAATCTGACTCGCAGCAATGGCCAGGCTGTTCCCTAGAGCGGCCATGACCCCGTGTGACCTTCGGCGACCCCCTCCCACCGCTCCCTCTGCCCTTCTGCAAAGGGAAGGGGCAGGTGGCAAGTGCTGGAGCTGCTGCCCGCACCTGTGGCCTGCTGGGAGGGGCCCTGGCTGCTGGCCGAGGGAGCTGGCATTGCTTTAGCCTGAGCCCTGGGCGGATTGTCGCTCGGGCACTGCTGGCCCAGGTGCGGGCTGGGCGTCCGGCCCTGCCAGGGCAGTAATCCCGGCTCAGCCCCCGGCAGAGCCCTGGCTCTCGCCCTCACCCCGTGCGTCTCGCCCGGCAGGGAGGACGGCACCAACGGCTGGCAGCGCGCCGAGGTGATCCGGCTGGAGCAGGACGTCTTCACGGCGCTGGCCGGGCGCGGCAAGCTCTACGTCTACAAAACCGACGGCTTCTGGAGCCAGATCAAATCGGCTGGGTGGGTGTTGGCAGGGCAGGGCCGGGGGAGCGCTGGGCGGCAGTGTCCCTTGTACGGTGGGGAGCTGCTGGAGCCGAGCTCAGCTCAGACCTGTTCTGGTGGGGGGGCGGGGGGACATGACGACCGCCCCGGAGGAGCAGCCTCTCTGCTAGGCAGGGCCTGACAGACGCTCCCTGAGAGGTGGGGCCTGGTCACTCTGATTGGCTCCTTCCCCCCACAGCTCTGCCATCTACGCCAGCCGCCTCTACCTGAGCCAATACAGCCAGTGCCACCCGGAGAGACTGGCCCGGAACAGCCCCGAGGGGCCCACCATCCGAGGTACCCTCCCCCGCTCGGCCTGGCTACGCTGTTAGCAGAGCCCTGCGCTCACCCCGCGGGGGCCCAGCCGGGGTCTCCCGGGGGGCGGTGGCTGCGGCTAGGCTCTGGGCAGGTCCTCTCCCTGCTGGCTGTGCTAGCCCGGGGGGGTGGGGCAGAGCCGCGTCCCCTCACCCTTGTTTGTGTTGCAGGGAACGTGTATATCCACCCAACGGCGTCCATCGACCGCAGTGCCGTGGTGAGTGCGGGGCCGGCGGAGGGGTCTCGGGGCCGGCCTGGGGGGCTCTGCTCACTGCCTGCTCTGCTCTCTCCCTCCAGCTGGGCCCCAATGTCTCCATTGGGAAGGGGGTGACGGTGGGAGCCGGCGTGCGTGTGCGCGAGTCCATCATCCTGCATGGGGCGTCGCTGCAGGTAGGGTGGGCCCTGCTGGGGGGGGGGGAGCCAGGGGGGTCCTTTTAGTCCCCCGGCTTCAGGCGGAGATGGTCAGCTCAGCCAACAGCGGGTGCAGCCTGGAGCCGTGTCCTGTGTCCCCCAGCTCTGTCATGGCCCCACAAACCCCCCACTGCCCAGCCCTGGTGCCCCTCACTCCCGACCTGCAGCCCCCTGCTAGCCCAGCCCTGGGCTTCC